ATTATACAATCAATTTTAATTCAGTTAAGCGGATAGATCCTTCCACTCGAGTGTTGACATAATACTTTCATACACTCTGCTCTACAATATTTAAATAAAAAAGACCAAAATATCATTTTTGAAAATTTCAATAATTTCTATAAAACAGGAGAAATTATATTTTCATTTTAAAATTTTTTTTTTGTTGTTCATCGAAGAGGGGGGGGAGGTAAAATATAAAAGCTGGACTAACACACATATAATTATTGATGCATATAATTTCAAGTAAAAACTGTTTTAAACTTTATTTCTAACATTTTGCATTTACTAGTGAAAAAATGCATACTGCTTTAAAACCCTGTAAAGCCACCAATAATTAAATAAGCATTAAACAAATAAAAAGATATACAAATAGCTAGAAAAATAGATAGATAAAAAAAATGTATACATTTTTGGTCCCAACTAGCTGGAAATGATTCTAAAATATTGTAAAAGTCTTAAAATTCATTATTTTATTGCACATTGAAATATTTAATACTTTTTAGAAATTGTAAAACCTCTGTAAAAAATCGATAACTGATAATTTCATAGATAAACAAGTATATGGAAGGTTAGACAGATTGATATATAGATAGATAGATTGATAGATAGATAGATAGATAGATAGATAGATAGATAGATAAAAAATATCTAATATAAGATAATCTCTGGAGTCAAATGGAAAGCTTCTAGGCCATAAAAGAGGCTAAAATGGAGGCTTTTCTTCCGGTTATCATTGTCAAGATGATAACTAACAAACTAATGGCTAATATCAAAAAGGAAAATAGAAGCAAACAGTTTCCACTCTCGACCCTGTTCATTCCCAATCAGAAGTATCAATAAAAGAAATAATAGTTACTGGCTGAGGTGCCAGGCGTTTACCGTGAAAAAATTTAGACTTCGGAAAAAAATTGAATTTAAGAAAAAACTTGGAATTGAAAAAACTTGGAATTTTGAAAAAAAGAACATGGGGTTCTTGAATATTCTCAGCCAATTCGGTCCAGCCGTTTTGCCAGATATAACTAGATGCATATTCGATATTTTTTGAAAAATTTTCATTTCTTTTGGTACTCCAATGGTCAAAAATAATCAGCGAAACTTTTTTTCTCACAAAATCAAAAGTTCAGAAAAGCAAAAATGTGTTTATTTATTATTTCTATGAAAATCTAGAATTTTATTCAGATTGAATCACAGAATCACAGAGAATTCGCAAAATTGTTGTATGAAAATTCGCAATTTCAACTTCTGGCCTAAATTTTAAGGAACTGAAAATTGCGAACTTTCTTATAACAATTTTGCAAATTTTCTGTAATTCTGTTATTCAATATTTATAAAATTTTAGCGTATAAATTTGACACAGTTAAATTTCAATTTCTCTAGACAGAAACCTCATATATAACTTTCATGGGTCGCGATCTGGAGCTAAAGTGATCAGCTTTCAGTATATACCCCCTTTAATTTTTCCTTTACATTCCCTTTAAGGAGCTAGTCCAAAAAATCTCTTCTATAAGGCACTATAGTCAGCTAGCCTTTATTTTCGAACCCAGTTCTAAAATAAAAAAGAGATTTTTGCAATATTTTACGTTACAAACAAATGGGCAATAGAACATTTTGGTTTGTTGTGAGTAATCACTGCTTAAATATTATTTGTTTAATTTTTTTAAAGACTGGGTGCAAGGATACCCGAGATTTTATTCTTAGGACGTTTATATATAGAACCTTATATTATAAATATGGGGGGGGGGGTGAATATCGAGGAGGAGAACTTAGTATGCCATTGACAAGAATGGGGCCGGATGAACAGCACAATATGTAAATGCATCAAGGCGGGAATATCTTTATACAGCAAGGGAAGAAAAAGAAAATAAACATTAAGTTTCTTGTATAAAACTCTGCAGCAAACGTTTTATGATGAAAACGTAAAATTTAAGAATAAAGATATGCAGCAGAATAAAAAAGTTAGATAAAATTTTCATTTTTGTGTTTAACATTTGTTGGAACTTTGAAGAAATGTTGGTAAATAAGAATGATATTTTACAAATGGAGGGGGGG